GAGGGAGGAGAAGGGGGAGGAAGAGAGAGAAAGATGGATGGAGAGAGAGAGATGGATGGATGGAGGGAGGGAGGGAGGGAGAGAAAGAGAGGGGGAGAGAGACAGATCCATTTTTTTCTTTACTTTTTTTTACAATAGCCTGCCAAAACCAAATGGTCAGAATTCTGCCTGTAGTCTCACCCACTGCCACTGTCCCAATATTCATTACTTTTTTTTCATTTTTCTTGCTTTCATAATTGTTCCTTGAATTTAACGATCCCATCTGCTTCTTGGCCTTCTCACTTGCTATTTCCTCTGCCTAGAATGTTTCTGACTCAAATATCAATTAGGCCTGCTTCCCTCAGGTATCTGGGAGACATCATCATGTGAGAGACATCAGCTCTGTCCAACTTGTCTCAAGCCCACTCCATCCATCTGTGTGCTTACCCAACTAGGGAAAGAACTAACTCTCACTCCTAACTGTGAATGGGGTGGGCCATGAGCCCTTCTGTATGTCACAGAAGGGAACCAGCTATGTCTGGGCAGGAAAAGGTTACCCAAAGGATCTCCACCCTGTCATTGTCCTCTATGGAAACACCTTTGAAAACAGCCCATTATCCTTTCACCTGTGAAACATTTGAGGGGTTAAACCAGAACCAGGCAGTGTTCCCTTTCTCTTCCCTCTCAAATACATCCACAGGTGCTCATCTGCCTGCTTGCCTCATGGGGCATTCTTGTTAAAAGTAGACTGCATGGGGAAGGCCGTTAGGGACACATTCAGTCTGGGCACTCTTATTTCACCCACAACATGTACTGAAACTGCTGAAACTTCCTCCCTGATGGCTCACCTTCCCTGCTTCCATAGGCCTCATAGCCTCCACACTGTAATGGAGTGCCTCGCTTTGGGGAAAGATGAAGGGTGAGGTATCAGGACATTGGGAAAAGGATACAGGGTTAGGTAAATCCCTGATGTGAGTCCTTCCCCTCTCCATTATCTAATGTTTGCTATCCAACTCTCCCCACTGTGAAGGTTTGGGGACAGGTGAGGTCCCAACACCTACAATCATGTCCATGTCATATCTGCCACTCGACCTTCTCCACAGTCATTGGAGGAGGCCTGGCTCTAGAAAGGTCTTTGAAATATGACTGCTGTTTTTCTTTTTTTTTTCTTTTCTTTTTCTTCCTTTTTTTTAAAAAAAGGATTTTATTTATTTATTATGTATAAGTCTCCTGCTTTCGTGCCAGCAGAGGGCACCAGATCTCATTCAAGGTGGTTGTGAGCCACCATGTGGTTGCTGGGAATTGAACTCAGGACCTCTGGAAGAACAGTCAGTGTTCTTAACTGCTGAGCCATCTCTTCAGCCCAACTGCTGTTTTTCTAACTTGACACTATGTCTTTAGAGTTGTCCTCCTCAACCTTGCTGTATATGGGAATCAAATTCTGTCTCAGAAAAAAAAATAAGAAAAGAAAAGAAAAGAAAAGAAAAAATGTTGTATCAGTCATGGGTTGGTCACTCCAACAAGTTTTGTGTCACCATTGCCCTAGCTCATCTTGCAGGGACTGGAAGAAGTGGAGGGAGGAGAAACTAGGTTGAGGTGTAATATAGGAGAGAATGATGGGAAATGTACTGTGTATGTTTATCTTATTGATTGTTAAATAAAATACTGTTTGGCCAATGAGACAGCAAGTAGACGGGACTAGGAGTCAAAGAGGATTCTGGGAAATGTTGTAGAGAAGTGTGATCCAGGCAGGAAGTGACATAGCAAGGAGACTCATATTTAAACGAAGGAGAAACAGGAAGGGTCCCTTTTTTCCCCCTGCTCCTCCAGCGGCACAATGTGATCCACCAGCAAGGAGGGACACCAATAAGGCATCCGATAAGATAAGTCTTATAAAATATATAGATTTATAATTAAAACTGAGCTAACAGATGAGGAATCCTAGTCATTGGCCAAGCAGCTTTGAATCTAATACAAGTTTCTGTGTATTCATTTGGGCCTAACTCAGGTGGGCAGCTGGCGTAAAGCTCACACGTAGCGATGGTGCTTAGGTGGCTTTTGGCACAAAGATTTATCGTAACAAGAGAAGAATAAAAGTTGTTGGTTTTTTTTTTTAATGTTGCTAGGTGGCATACACCTTTGATCCCAGCACTCAGGGAGGCAGAGGCAGGCAGATCTCTGTGAGTTCAAGGCCAGCCTGGTCTACAAAGTGAATTCCAGGACATCTATGACTGTCTCAACCTCCCATCCCCCCAAATGTCTCCAACTCCTACCCCAGAGATTCTGGAGCAACCATCAGCCTCAGCATCAGAAGTTGTTCTAAAAGGTGAAAAAGGAAGGAAATAAATGTCTCCATTGGTTTTACAGCAAGGATGCGGTATTGCATTCTCTCTCCATTTTCACTGTGGATTCTCCCTTGACTTCCCAGACAAATGAAGGAAAGCCTCTGACACTTGGATGGACCGCAGAAGCTTTGAGCCTGGAGTTCACAGAAACAAATACCTTTCCATGGTCCTCATTAAAGTCTTGCTGCTCCAAGCGTGACCTGTGGAATAGCTTAACATTAAGATCACCTTTATCTTGTTAACCATTATAAACTGCCTGCCCTACCTTGCTATACAGAACTATTTTATTTCATTTTATTTTTAAAATTTATTTTTTACATTCCAATTCCAGTTCCTCCTCCCTCCTTTCCTCCTCTTCCCTCACTCCCTCCCCTCCATCTGCTCCATGGAAAGGGTAAGGCCTCCCCTAGGAAGTCTACTACGTCTGCTATACAGAAACCTTAACAGTGCCAAACCTTAACAGCTAAAATGGATCTGTCACCTTCTGCCTAAAACATTACACAGTCCCCTGCAGCTCAAGGCTGGCTGTCTCCTCAACCTGGGAGAGATCAAGGCTTCGAAGAGAATTTAGCATTTGTCCCAGCTAATGTGTTGACTATAGGCAGCTAACCTCCCTTTTCTTAGGATTTATGTTAGGCAAGGACTCTACTACTGAACTATATCTGGGCCAGAACATTTTTTATAAGATTTATAATTGTCAGGGCAGAATGATGTAACTCAGTTGATAGTGTGCTTGCTTAGTATTCAGGAATCACTGGGTTCCATCCCCGGTACCACATAAACTAGGTATGGTGGCACAGGCCTCTCATCACTTGAGAGGCAGAGGCAGGAGTTTAAGGCCATCTTCAGTTACCTCCGAGCCTCAGCTACCTCTGAGCCAAGTCTTACTCAGCATCTGTGGCTTCTCCTAGCACTACTTACCCCTCCACTGTCCCTAAACTTCTCCCTCCCAGGGAATGAACTTCAGTTCCCTTCCCCCAACCTGATCCCCAGATATCCCAGCCATTTTGGGCACAAGATGTCTTGTTCTCCTGCCTCACTCTTGGCCTCTTGGCCCACTGCTCCTCTTTTCCCCCCTCCCCCTTATTGTCCTCTCATGCTCTACCTCACTACTCTCTCTTTTCATGGACTGGTTCAGTCTGCTGGAGAGAGAGGACTGTGTGGAATTTGAGGACTCCAAGAGCAAACAGCTGTTGAATGAGATGAATGAGATCCCAGTAAGATGTGTACTTTCATCGGTGAAGTGTGCTTTTCTAAAATTTGTGTGTATTTGTGTGTGTGTGTGTGTGTGTGTGTGTGTGTGTGTGTGTGTGTGTGTGTGTGTGTAGGTGCATGCACTTTGTGTGTGTAGAGGCTAAAAGGCTGAGGGTGAGTGTCTTCTACCACCTTACTTTTTAAACAGGTTGCTCACTGAACACAGAGCTCACTTATTGGCTAGACTGGTTGACCAACAGCCTCCCCCTCCCCAATCCTACTCTACCCTAGACTTCCAGATTCCACCTTTCACTGGTTCTTTGGCACTCACTGCCACACCCAGGTTTTTACATGAGTGCTGGGAATCCAGATTGTTGTGCAAGTGTAGCAAGCATTTTGCCCACGAGCCATTTCCCTTTTGCTTTTTGGTGCAAGACAGAATTGTTTCAGAATCCTTCAGTGTCTTTGGGACCTCCAAATAACTTATTTATTTATCTTATCAATAACCAGAGGCCTAAGGAGTACAGATTCTGGGAAAGAAGTCATATCAACCCTCTGAGTATTGGAAGAAGAATATTGCCTCAAAGACTATAGAGGCTATGGAGGGGCTGTGCATATTCGATGGAGCCATCCCACCCAAAGTCAGTCCTATGTTTACTCTTAGTCCTAAGCCAACCTCCTCTGTTCACTCTGCATACTCAGCCCTTATCTTGTCTCCTTTCCTGGTTGATGGCCAGTCTGTCTATTCCTGTTTTCCTAGAGGGCAGATTCTAGCCCGGTCCTCTTCTGATTCCCACACCCACCTCTCTACCACTGAACCACTTGGTGTCTTAGTGGAGGAAGACAGGAAAGCTCTCTTGGGGATTCTGCCGACCTCATACTTCTTTTTTTTCAAGACAAGGTTTCTCTATGTAGCACTGACTTTCCTGGAACTCACTCTGTAGACTAGGCTGGCCTTGAAATCACAGATATCTGACTGCCTCTACCTTCAAGTGTTTCGATTAAAGGCATGTGCCACCACTGCTGGGCTCTTACCTTATACTTCTAAGACAAAATTCAAACATAGCAAATGGATGGAGTTCTAATTCATCTTTGGCATGGCCCCATCTTTTTTTTCTGGTTTACAAGATTAGGCCATAAGAACAACGTGAAAGCAGTTGCCAAATTTAAATGCAGAGATCATTCCTCCAGAGAAGACAGCAAAGCTACTAACAAGCATGATGGAATGGATCCTTCTTATCATTTCCAATCCCCTTAGATCACAGTCACTAGAGCTGTCCCTCCCTATGGCATATGCCAGGAGAATATAGATTTTTTTACTTTTATCCAACAATATGGCGACTCTATTTTTGTTGTTGTTTTTTGTTACTCATCAACAGAAAACCTTGTGTCTTGCTAGGTGGGGTGGCTCATTTCTGTAGAACCTGAACTTAGGAAGCTGAAGCAAGAGGAACAAGGAAAAGAAAAACTTGTATGCAGGGGTGATTTCTGATGCATACTTTTATTAGAGACAGAGGTGACAGCTTTTTCCAATGAAACACATCTCTGAGTTCAGAATGGAAGACCACAAGAAACTTCACTTTGTAATTCACCTTTATCAAACTATCCCCAAACAGAGCAATTGCTGTGTGTGGTCCTGTGACATTACATAACAAGTTGTTAACAAAAACACACCAAATAAAAAGCCTTATATTCTCTAATTGTCAAGTTAATCATCAACTTTTCATAGATGCATGAGTGTGTGTGTGCGTGTGTGCGTGTGTGTGCGTGTGTGCGTGTGTGTGCGCGCGCGCGCGGTGTGTGTGTGTGTGTGTGTGTGTGTGTGTGTGTGTGTGGTCTATGTATCCAACCCAGGGCTGTGTGCATGTCAGATAAATGTTCTACCACTGAGTAGTTTCTTAGCTCTGATTTTCTTAGGTTTTCGATTTTTTTCTTGTATATGAAAATGAAATTTACCTCAAATACCAGAACCCAGGCTATATTCTTTTGAAAGGAGATATAGCAGTCAACTTTAAGTCTTGGATTTTCTAGATCTTTCCTGAAATAACTCTCACTGATTTACTAGATTTTAGTCAGTTTCATCTGGGACCTATTTGTTCTACTGGATCTACAGAGAAGACAATGTTAATCTATCACCAATCCCCAGTGAATATGGTACAATGGCTCCTAGCTCTTGTGGCCATGATGGAAGCACAGCTCATCTGGTGAACACACATGAAGGCCCCGTTCTCCCTCAGCCAGCTGTTATACATGATCAGTATTTCCCTGAGGCTGGAGTCTGTGGCTTGATCTTCTTTACAGCTTCCAGAACAGAGAGTGGGTTCACTTTGTCTCCAAATTCTTTTTCTCGGTGCTCAAGAAGAATGCCCTAAAGCAGAAACAGGAAGGGCTGTCAGTTTTCACTCATGAAACAGACTCTGAGCACCAGCTGTCCAAGAACCCAGAACTGAACCAAACCCAGCACCTGCCCTTGAGGAGTCCTGTCTTCTGAGGAAGGGGACTAAGGAAGCCATGTTCCAGTACTTGGGACACATGAAGTCAGGCATAGTTAATTACAACAGGGGTGGGTGTAAGGCTTCCTGGATGACAGGCAGATAAAAGTACATCCCATCTGGAGAGAAGAGAATGCAAACAGAAAAGCCCTATGAAGTAGACAGAGACCACTTTGACAGGTGCTAAATGACTATCTGAGGAAGGAGACCCACCCCTTCCTTTAATCTTTTAAGAAACTGGGATCACGCTTCCAATACTGTGAAGAAAATGCACTGAGACACAGGACATCCCAGTTATTCTGATGTAGTAAAATGATACCATCAGGAATTGTCAAAGTTCTTTAACTCACTTTATTGCACACTAGTCTTAAATTTTAAATGATCTGTCATGTGTTCTATCATTATAAAGATAAGAGAAGAAGTCAGGAAGGCAAGATGGCTTGTCAGTAGAGGCATTTGCAATGTACAGCGCTAACAACCTGAGTTCAATCCCTGGATCTTGCATAGGGAGGCAAGAGAGAACCAATTCCTATGATTTGTCCTTTGACCTCCACACACACATTGTATATGTACATACACACACACACACACACACACACACACACACACACACACACACACACTAATTAAAAGCCCACCATGCTGTGCTAACCATTGGGAAGTGAATGAGGAAACTGCAATTACTTGCTCAGTAAACCAAATGCAGGCAGTGAAAATTCGGAGAAGAATGTACAACGGCATGGGAAATGGTCACAATCACTGCTGAGAAAGAAAGCAAGCCAACTGCCACCAGCTCTGTCCCAGTGGGTTGTCTTCAGTATCTGACAGGAAGGCTCCACCCATCTTCCACTATTTTGTTCTTTTTAGAAACTCTACATGGAATATGCATTTCTTTAAAGTAACTAGGCTTCACAATCATTATTTTTACAACAGTCGCACCTAGAGGCACTTGACACAATGGCTGCAGAAGCACCTCCACCAGGAACTCAGGTGAGTCCGGATGCCCAGTCATCTCAGTTCGCCCTCCACCTTTCTAGAAACTCCACAGAGAACCAACAAACACCACACCTAACAACACCAGGAATGTGCTAGCCCAGCCATAAATACCAAGTGAGTCAACACCAGACAAGAAAAGGCTGGTAGGTGTGCCAAACCCTGCCCTAGAGGCCACCACAGGAGGCAGAGGTAAGACAATGAAACCCACAGGGCCGGAGTGGGAAGAAGAGGGGCACCTTGTAGGGTCATCTGGAGCAGGTCACCGAGAACTATTTCTGAGGACAATGTGTATATGCAGTGAGATCCTTCTGGGTTCCTGGATTTAGTTTTTCCTGTGCTGCTCACCAACTGTGCCTCTGGCTGACTGGCTTCCTATCTCTAGGCCCACTTGGTTACATGGAGATGGGAACAAGAAAACCTAACATCGAAGACTGGTCATATAGAAGACATGAAACATACATACATACATACATACATACATACATACATACATACATATATACACACATACGTACATAAATACACACATGCACATTTGCACACACACACACACACACACACACACACACACCTGAAACAACAAGGCAGTGCTTGGCAGCCATTCCCACCAAGACACTTTGATATATTTACCAGAAATAAACAAATAGAACTATGTTGAAGTCGACACCATTTAATGCTAAATTCTAATGCCAATAAGTAAGAACAATTCCCAATGGTGTTTTTAACAAAGATTTCTATTCTCACTCTTATTTCTCTTATGTTGTGAGGTCCAACAATGAGGACTAAAGCTGTTTTTCTACAGAAACGAAACAAAATAACAGAAATCCAACCATTCCCTACACGTGCGTGTGCTTGTCATAACCAAGGTTTCCAGTCAGGCTTGTCTCCAGGTCCTCCTTCTGTGACCCATGCCTGCTATATGTCTCTCTTTTCCATACTCTTCCTCAGGGTCCCCACATTAATTCTGGGTCCTCACTGTCAGGACTCCTAACACCCTGTTCACATTGGAGTTCACATCTCCAGGCACAGCCCTCACACCAAGATCTTCACAGGGAAAGCATGGTGTCTCTAATTCCTTCTTGCCACTGTCCCTCATCAGACTGCTTCCCCCCTCCCCTCGTCCTCTTTGCTTTTCCCCATATCCATCCTTGATGGTTTGGGAAAGTGCCAATTGAGTATATTCACCAAAGGATAAAAGTGAGATATCTGGTTGACTACAGAAACACAACATGAAATGAGAAGACCTGGACTCAGGTCCCTGCAGTGCCACACTGGACCAAGCTCATTGGTATAGCTGCTTGCCTCCTCTCCTCATCAGCATGACTGCCTCCTGGCATGACTGTAAATTGTGTGTGTGAGATGCAAGCATACAACAGATGTGTGATCAGTGACAACTGCTGGGAGCAGGGATGGGCAATTCTAAACATGGAGATCCCTGCCCTAATATCAGTCCCTGTCTGCGGCCTCAAGTCCAGAAACCCACAGATCTGTAGTCAGCATAGATCTTACCTGTTTTCCAGATCCTATCACAAAAACCCCTCCGAGGATGAAGCCTTCACCTTCCAGGTTTCCAGAGAAGCCTGCCTTCCAGGCCCGGAAGGAGTTGTACCACACACCCAAACGGATGAGGCCCATGAGCATCATCTTCCTCCTCTCTGGACCGTAGAATTTTTTCTACGAAGCAAGGAAGATCTCATATGAGCAGTCTGCATGTCTTTCATCCCCAGGAAGGGTGCCAAAAGCCAAAAGTCAAAAGCCCCAGAACCTGCTACTTCATGTTCTTTCTCCAGCCTAACATATCACTCTACCCAAGGTCACACTCAACTGCCTAGGGAAATAAGAATCTGCCAGCACTGACTTCTAAAAAAAAAAAAAGAAAAAGAAAAAAAAAGAAAGAAAGAAAGAAGGAAGGAAGGAAAGGAAAAGGTAAAAAGAAAGAACAAAAAAAGACTGCATTTTATTATTTGCTGTTATTTTTGTCATGCAGTGATTGAACCCCAGGGCCTTGCACATGTTAGACAAGCACTCTGCCACTTAGATCAACTTCAGGTCTCAAGGTAGTTCCAATCTGAGGAAGAGACTCTGCCTCCACTTACTCATTCTCCTTACAACACTGTACAGGGGAAGAGAAGGGAGACACAGCTGCATAAATTAAAGGGCAGGGGTTTGTACCAAGGGGCAAGGGTTCTCTGCCACTTCACACCTTCCTGGGTCAATCAACAAGGCTTGAGTAATAAGGGTGAACAACTTTCAAGAGTCTGCCTGTGCTGTGTTCAGAGAGCTGGGGGACCCTGAAAATTCAGGGGAACAGTAGGGGAGGCCCTCCTCCAGCTCCAGGCTAGCCTAGGTCCATGACCTCTTCCAGATAAGTACCACACCTACCAGTGTAGGGCCCACAAGCCCATAACATACTCTTTCTGTATTTTAATTTTAGTTATGTGTGTAAATGTGCATTTGTGTGTGATTCTATGCATGTGAGTGAAGTGTTCACAGAGGCCAGAAGAGGGCGTTGGATCCCTGGGAGCGGGCATTGCAGGCTGTGGTCAGCCACTCAACGTGGGTGCTGAAAACTGAATGCAGGGCCTCTGGAAGACTAGAAACCACTCTTAAGCACTGAGGCATCTCCCAGTCACAACACACTCACCTTTTCATCCAGGAAGATTTCCCCTTTGAAGTAAGGCTGAAAGTTCTTCACTTCTGCCTTAATCTGCTCCTTCACCACAGCATAGAGAGGGACACCTAGTTCATCCAACTTGGGCTTCAGGGAGGACAGTTCTGCTGCCTCCTACAGAAGACAAGAAGGTTCAGGGACAGGAGCACTTGGAGCTGTGCTGTTAAAAACAAAACAAATCATGGCCCAGGGCATGGCTGACACTAAGCAGAGAAATAAAGGTGACAAAATCCCAGAAACAAGACAGGCCTTGTAGCCCAGCAAGTTGGACACTAGACCTCAGGACAGGGTTTCATGTGAATTCTCAGACCAGGCTTCTTATCTTCTCAAAGTGGTAAAGAGAACTATGCCCCGAGAGCCTCTAGAACAGTGGCTGCTCCCAACCTTGCCCTATATGCTCAACTAGGACAAGTTTTCAGACCTCCTCTTCCAGCTCACTCCTGAACTAGACCAAACCGGTGCACAGGTTCATCAGACACATGCATGATGGCCATGTGACTGTGGCCTCCAGGTTTCTGTGCAAGCCCCACCCTCCCATCTTTGCTAGAAACTTATTTCTCTTTCCAGCTCTAATCTAACCTACTGGAAAGGTATCCTTGTTCTAGAAAGACCTCTTGGACCTGTCCTATGTTGCAAGCATGTTCTCTGCCATCTACTTGTGGATTTTTATGCTAAGCCTTCATGTTCTCATCAAGCACTGTCACTTAGATTCCTAAGTATGTCTCACTGTTAGAAATTCTGTCTTTTGTTTCACAGACACCATGTTCTAGACAGAACACGGCTGGATGTTCAAAGTTACTAAATACTTGGTAGAAAGAGCTGAAGATGGACAATGGGAGGATGTGGCAGAGTTGAGTTGGTACAGACATCTTTGACCCTTGAACCATGTACTGGAAAAAATAAACAATATTGCATAAATCATGGAAAAGCTTCAACCCGAAGAATCACCTCCCTTTTCACATTAGATGCTGTAATTAAAGAATCATCAGGAAGTTCTTTTAAATTCAGCCTGCCCACCTCTGTTATAAATCCAGTGTGACAAGAGAGCAACTATATTTTCTATAACAAGAAAAAAGAAAGAAATGAAAGCATAGCTAGATAAAAGAGGATTGATTACAACATATTTATCAAGAACTCTACTGAGTAGAAAATTTTGACTGGAGCAGAAGGGAAAGGTTATGATATCTGACTGGTTGAAGACCACCTGTTGGCGATGTGGTTCACTGCTTTCCCAGGCTCTTTCCCCTGGGTATGTCTCCATATAAAGCCACTGAGAGGAAACAGTCATGTAACCCCTGCCCACGAGTCAGTTGAGTCACTCATTTCTATCCACCCACCTTTCTAGATACTGTAAGTTTCCGAAAAATGCTGTTTCAGGGCACAGAGAAGAACACAGGAAAACCGGCTGCAATTACCATGAGCTCCTGGAACCCCCTCTGTGTTACTGGCTTCAACAGAAGTCACAACAGCTTCTCTGTTGGTCTGGAGGCATCTCAGAGTTGGAAATAAAAGCCCTGAGTTTACACTCCACCTCCAAGATGAAAGAAAATAATGAACCCCTAAAGATGACAAACTCTGAATGCCTATGACCTGTCACATGACGAGGGAGACGGACAGGACACTTAGCTTGCCAACCACCTCACCTTAAAGTAGGAAGATCCTATGCTAATTGGATGGATCCATGTCATCATTGGGGTCTTAAATGTAGGAGAGGAAGAAAGTCTGTGTTGTAGGGATGTGGTATGACAATGACTTGAGCAGCTATTGCTGACTTTAGAAACAGAGGGAGAAATCACAAGCAAAGGAAATTGGTGGGCTCTGGAAAGGTAGACAAGGCAAAGATATGGACTTCCCACTACAGCTTCCGGGGAATGCAGCCAGACTCCATTTGAGAACTCTGACCTCCAGCTTGTAAGCTAACTGCTGTTGAAGCCACCAAATGTGTGGAGTTTTGCTACAGCAGCAATAAGTGAAACACAATAAGCAGGCTATACAAGCACAATATCTTGGCTTTTTGGAAACTTCTGCACCACTCTCTCCTCTGTAAAATAAGAATGGTGACAACAGGTTGTATCTATAAGATAACCTTGAGAAGCACTGCACAGGCTGGGGACGTGGCCCAGTTGGTAGAATCTTTCTTATAGCATGCATGAAGCCCTGGTTCAATGCCACAAAAAAATGGACATGGAAGTGCATGTCTACAGTTCCAGCACTCAGGAGGTAGAGATGAGAAGACCAGAAATTCAAGGGTTATATAGCAAGTGAGGTTAGTCTGGGCCACATGAGATCCTGTCTTAAAAAAAAAAGGAAAAAAAAGAGGTGCCTTGGAGGTAGGGTGTTGCAAAGTGTGTGCATTTAGCAATATCAGTGGATTCTTTGTCAGACCCATAAGCAGAGAGAAATCTCTTAGTGTTGGGCCAGGCTTCTAGAAAAATGAGAGTGATGATCTTGACAGGGCCAAGGGGACTACTTGAGGAGCCAAGTGGTTTCAAGGGCAAAGGAACTCTAGTCTATTTTCTCCCAGTCAAAGCAGTTATCTCAGAATTTGGGGCAGGCCACAAAACTACCCTGTTCCTCTTTTTACACACATATAGAGTGACAAAGCCTGGCTCAGGCCACTGCAAAACTCCTTGTTGCACTAGTATTTTGTGCCTAGATTATCAAAGCTCCTGCCTTGCTATGTGTTTTCCATTACTGGAATGGCTTCCATTTGAGTGGCTCACCAGGAGCCACCCTGTAAGTGAGCCTCAACTTCACTCCAGCTTACAAGCCAAATGCATGCACATTAATGGTATGACTGAAACCCTGCTCAGCTACTCACTCTGTGAGAACACCTTTGTAAAGGGAAGAGCTGCCATGATCTACAGTGGAAAAGGACTCAAGCAGGTCCAAAGGAGAAGCACACACACTGGAATGCTCTAAAGTGCCTCCTTGGGGAGGCCTCTGCATGCTGCAGCTTCATCACATAGCAGCTGATGATTGACAGTGAGGTTTCCTCATCTCTCCAGACCATTATTTCAACAAGTGAGCATCTATGCTGACCAATAGGATCTCAGAATTTGCTCCTTTTGCTATTGCTGTCCTGGATTAACTGAAAAGGCTGTGCAGGACATGGCTGCTACCATACTGGGCAAAAGGTCCGAAGGACAGAGAAAACAGATTTGTTACTAACCCCACCAAGATATACAAAGTTGTTAAAAACAGGATTAGGACTAATGTCAAAACAAATGCATAGAGCAAATAACAGAAGCATCCAGAACTGACAGAAGGCTCATGAGCACACATAAGCCCTTGGTCCTGGATGGAAATACTCCAGAACCCACTGTCGGAATGCTTTCCTTCCAACAGATCCTCAAAGGCACTCACGGCTCGACAGAGGAAACAGCCTGGCCTTCGCACAGCCATAATCACAGCCCCATTCTTCGCCCATAGCTCCTTTGCTTTGAATGTCCTTGGTTCTGAAAGAGAAGAAATAGAGGGGTACTATCTCCTTCTAGGCCTGCCCAGATCTTCACCAATCACTGGGATGCTCCTGAACTACACTGGGCCAAGATCTGTCCAGAACCCAGCCTAGGAGGGGACCAGGATGAGCACTCCACTCCTAGGAGAAAGCAAGCACAGACTGGGAGGACTCATCTACCCAAGGAAGACTTATGGCTTAAGGATCCCACTGTATACTCCAAAGGTGCCTCTCCAGTGAAAATCAGCCTTCAACTAGAACATCCAAATTGCAATAATTTCAAGCTAAACGGTAATTCCATTTAATTCCACAGCATTGGACACTGTATAATTCGGTGGAACCCAAACTAAATTTTACATTTGACATCCCTCACAAAAGCAACCTTACAGGTATATTCAAAGGAATAAACAATTAAAAAATTGTTTTTCTTGTTGTTGTTGTTGTTTTTTTTTTTAATTCTCCAAGAAAGGGTTTCTCTGTGTTGACCCAGCTGTCCTGGAACTCTTTCTGTAGTTCAGGCTAGCCTCAAACTTAAGAGACTGGCCTGCCTTTGCCCTCTGTGTGCTGGGATTAAAAGTATGAGCCATGGGTGCCCAGAGAAATCAACAAATTTTTAAAATTAGCCAAAACATGTTAACTGCAATGCTTGCATTACTATAAACATAATAAAGTGGAAGACACCCTATAAGGAGATGCTTGGGAGAGTTAGTGAGGACTCATGGATGGACCTTAATTATTTTAGTATTCTCCAGAGGTATCCAAGTGCCTGTGGGATGCAGTGTGAACAAAACAGGGAAGAGAAGAAGCTGGAGTCACATGAGGCTTTTAAGATGAACAAAGCTGAACAAAGCTTGGCAGGTCTCTCTCTCTGAACACTCCTAAGTTTATTTTAAGATGAACAAAGCTGAACAAAGCTTGGCAGGTCTCTCTCTCTGAAGTTTCCTAAGTTTCCCTGCCATGAGTCAGAGCTACCACACAACCTCACCTACTGAGAGTATGACGATGGCTTCTCATTGAGAGTAGTAGCCAGAAGACCACCTAGTCAGTGAGCCCTCATGTCTACCAAGAAATTCCTGTCACAGCTGGACACAACTGAACCCCACTGAGCTTCAGCACTGTGTGGAATGTACCTGGCAGGGGTAGAGCTGGCATGGCTGAGACTCACAGCTCCTGCCATGGACTCCATGTGGGCCCCTGAAGACAGGTACGTAGATAGGCTCCCGTGTCCTGCAGCTTCATCATAGGCAGAATAACCACGAAGTATCTATAGATTACCCATTTACAATGTGCATATGTTTATTGTGCACGAAGCCCTATACCAAGCATCAGGAACACAGAATTGAATAAGTAGTGTTTCTTGAGCTTATTCAACTCAGACAATTCTATTTATTTTATCTTATTCTTTATGACAGTATCAAAAGACTTGGAATTCCTCAGAATACTCTCTGGAATAGCTGTTTTATTAAGTGACGATACAATATTATTAAATATTATGGAGCAATTTATCACTGCAGTTAAGGCAACAGTAATAGAGAGTGAAAAATGACTTTGATAAGAAAAAGATAAATTAGACAATAATAGCCACATCACGTTTATGTGATTATATGTAAGCATGGAAAGGAATGCAGCAAAGTAAAAATAATTGTGTTAGGGTGCTATAACTATTGGTAATTTAAAAATTGTTATTAGATTTCGCTCTAATATTGCTTCAAGAAAAAGGGACAATTTGGGGAAGAAAACTAAAGAAGTTAAACATGCATCCTAGCATCCTGGAAAAATACTGAGGCTGGCAGACACTCCTTACCTTTCTCCAGTGTTTTCAGGTCTATGTCTTCCAAATATTCCAGCTCTGCTTTCCGGGGCTTGGATAGAAATATGTCTGTGTTGGCCAGGAGTAGTGCCAGAGCAGCGGCCCCCAGGGCTCCAGCACCAATGGACCACATACCCATGGTGAAGAAACTTGGGTCCTGGAGGAAAGACATTTCTGGAGATTGAGAAGAAGGAAGATGTTACTGTTCCCACAGGCAGCTGGAATCTGACCTTCCTTCCTACCCAAGGCTCCAGTGGGCAACCAGCCAGGGGGCCAGGGGAGGAGGGCCTGAAGGAGGAAGACACATGACTGGTCAAAGCTGCTCAGCCTCTTATCTCAGCCCCATTGTGAGAGCGTGGGAAAAGCATAGATACATGCAGGTTTGTGTCCCAAGGAGCTCACTAGGGTGGCAGGAGTAATTAGAGAAATGATAGCCTTCTAGGGGCTTCTCTTGCACCTCTGCCTCACTGTGGCTTGCTGCTGAGCCTGTCCCTCATCCCTCTCCTCACCAAGCCTCATTCCCTTTCACAGCACGGGTGACAAGTGGCTCAGCTATCACCTCCCTGGGTAGGGACAGCTTTCTCATCTGCGATCAGAAGATACTTGTTTTGTTACCCTTTCTCCTGAGTTTAAGAATTTCCCAGAAACAAGGGCAACATTCTATTCATCAAAGCCCCAGCCACTGCCCAGCAGGGCTTCACTCAGGGTAGACTGATAATCTCAGCCAATTTCTCCCAGCTGAGAATAGCTTTCTCACTCATTATAGAAATGAAACAGGCTTCTGTTCAAAACAAAACAAAACAAAACAAAACAAAACAAAAAACAGTTTCAACTGTGCCAATGCATAAAACCAGCTGACAAGAAAGTCAATACTCTCCGAAGCCTATCACTTAGAGATGGCCACTGTTAAGAACAGCAGTATCTAAGAGGACATTCCTCCCACAGCCCAACCCCCCACATGCAAGCACACACACACAAACACACACACAAGAACATAGCTGCACTGATATTTGCAGAATGAATGGCAGGGCAGGGAGTAGGGGCTGTGTCATGTCAGAAGGATAGGTCTAGCTCTTGGTAGAAGATGCCGAGCATGAACAAGGTCCTAGGTTTAATCATCAAAATCATTAAAATTAAATCAATCAATCAATTAATTAAAAACTCCAGGCAAGGGATGGCAAAATAAATATGACATTAAAAAAAGAAAGAGGAATCTGATACTGATACATTTGGAAAAAGAAAGTTAAGAGGGGGCCAGTGTGGGTGTTCGAAGGAGTAGAGGTTGCCACTGTATCGTTGACATAAGGGATTTCAGCTTGGAGGGAAGGCTTCCTTAGAACCACACAAAGTGTGATCCATGGTCAGTGGCTTACCACAAACAAGTACTGAAATGGATTCAATACAGTTGAGTGATGAACATGACTTACATACAATCAAGTTCTTGGGCAAAGCCGGAAAGAATGTTCCATAGGCCTGCTTCCAATTTTTCTTTGGCAAAGTTATACATTACTGGATTACAGTTCACAGAACAATTAGGAGGGAAATCACAGCTCCTAGACACCTGTTGTAAACATGGAGTCCGTGCAGTCTGGAAAAATGGCACCTCTACAACAGTTTTGGACTACAAGTAGGTGTACATAATTCAGGAGCACCTGAGTGCTGTCATCTGGTCACAGATGTGTAAGCATTTCTGTAAGAAGATGCAGAGACCAGCTTACATCTACCCTACAAATGGACTCCTGGAATCCAGCAGTGAATTCAGGGAGTCCAGGGGCCTCCCGTCCTACCAACGCAACACTACTGAACTCTTAGAGGCCATCAGGTTCCATTTCCCCACTACCCAATGACAAACATTTGGCTTGTTTGTTCAGTGATCATATCAAGAGAATTCAACTCAACTAGACTGAACATTCATTTTCAAGATTTATTTATTACGGACCTGTTAACTAAATGGTAATTTGGGAGAACTTAGTGTGACACACGATCCTTAAGGAGACATAGGCTCAGTTCACAGAGTAACGGAAAAGTCAGTAGGAAGGTTAGGCAGCTTGGCAGAGTTAGAACACTTGGGTTGTGGTGCCACAAGGAAGACAGCCAGTCTGGGCAGCCACAGAAATAGAGGGAGTGGCTTTGAAATTGATGTGGGACACAGTCCACAATGTGAAAGCTTGGCTGGTCAAGGAATGATGGAGCCTAGCATGGAAGACTAGCTGGGAACATCTGGCAGAGAAAATCCAGAAGTGGCCCACCCCTGTAACAGCAATAGGGGCTCCATCCAGCCCACCTTCTGAAAGCCACCTGAAGTACCTGTGTTTCCATGTGGGTCTCATGCCATCCTAGGATCTCATTTATTCTCAGGTCTCCCTAAGACCCCACTCATTCTGTGTGCTTCAGTTCCTGGGGATAAGTCTAGAGTAGGAATGAACCACCTAATAGACTCAACTCCCCCATGAAGGATTTGACTGTGTGCTGACAGCCATCTAAGAAGGTAAATTCACATGTCTCAGAGACTCCCCTCTCCCTACCTCAACTTGGATTCAAGATGTGGGTGTCAAAGCTACCCTAGGCATGCTGTTTCCTACCGGTAGCCCCACCCCTACTGTGATCAAAGTCACTCCTCTGGGGAGAACACCCCATCCAGGTTCTGCATCACAGGCTTTTTCAGCAGTACCTGTGGGAGAAAGACTTCTCTGTGAACAGGCTCACGGCACTCCCACAATAGCAGGGGGCTCTTGTGTTGGTGATAAGCAGTGAAAACTGATCGCCAGAAGTATCTAGCTTCTAGAGCTCAAAGCAACCTCTCTCCTACCACGACAACTCCCTTCACGTCCTTAGGAGACCCTGAATCAGTTACTGCCACAGGGAGGATGGGGAGAGAGGTTTTAATATCTAGATGGAACTGTCTGTGCTTTTCCACATGTGCCTTCAAGACCACTGGGCAGAGAAGCATGGAGGTCAGTAACCCTGAATTTTCTAAATGTCACTTGACATACTTGGCTTCAGTTTATTCTCTCGGTTGTCCTGTGAAGCAGAGAATCTTCTCTTTGCAGGGGCAACACTAAGGTTCTGTGTTCCCTCATTTCCCCCACTGCCACAGGGCCATCAGGTAGCAGCAGCACTGCCATCTGCAGTAAGCAGGAGTAGCACTCCAATGCTTACAGTCCTGCTGTCACACCTGGAATCTCCACACATTCAGAAGTAGGTCTGGGGGTGTCAAGGGCATAAGCCTCCATCTTTAGGAGAATTTCAAAAGGCAGTTCATTGTTTTCCGCCATCAAACACAGTCCCACGATGTCTGGTCTAAAGGAAATTTACCATACAGCAGCTGTCCCTTCTCTTCTTTTTCCCTCTCTGCCCCCTTCCTTAAGGATAGGGTCAATCTCTCTAAATAAGAACTTCAAGGTTGTTTACAAAGGAGCCAGCCCCACCTGACAGCTATATTACTCACCCCCTCACAGGGGGGTGTTATCTGATCCCCTTGTCTGGGTCAGACTGCAAGTAAACAGCAGCTATAAGAGCTCAGAGTGGCAGCTTGGGTCTGGGGAGACTTGAGGGTAGGTAGAGGGAACCCAGCTAGATCCCCCATGCCAAACTGTTGCCATCATCTCCAGGCCCACTGTCTCAACTCCAAAATGAAGGAGTGATGTGGCTCCTCAGACTCCAGGGACATCCTCTGATATCAACACAAACAGCTCACTTTGGAGCCCCAACATTCTTGTTCTTCGTTAACCCCACCTTGGCCCACCTGCCCATTCATGCTCCATCTAGCTGGGTGCCCCCTCCCCATATCCATCGTTCAGCAGACCAAACCTGGGAACTTACCATGCGTGGTGTCCACACCTCTACTGCTGCTAACAAGAGATTCTGGCCCACAGGGTGTTCAGGCAGGGTGAGCAGGCTCAGGGAGGGCTGGAGGTGGGGCTTTGGAGTCTTGCCTAGCCCCTAAGCTTAGCCACTCCACAGGCAGGACTGGGCCACACAGAAACCCTGGGGCCTCTTCAGCTGCCAATGGTTAATCTCCAGAAAACATCGAAGTGGCCCCCTGCCAAGGCCCCCTAGCCCTTCAAAAAACTGAGCAAAGATTTGAGTCATTTGCAGTCATGCAGACTGTAACATTTTTTAAGTGCCAGCAGACTCCCCTCTGCTATGGGTGCACACTAAGTCAGGCTCTTAACACAGTCCACATGTCACAGTCACAGCATCAAAGGGACAGGTCCTTTTGTTCATGGCTCTGTACTCACTTCTCAGTCTACATTCAGGAAGTCAACTGGATGACCAAAGATCCTTGCCTGGTATCTATTCATCACCTCCCTTTTTCCTCTTTCTCTGCCATTTAAGGGGCTTCTCTGAACCCCTACACTCTTCCTGGATGACCTCACCTAAGGCCAGCATCTCACCCACTAGCTCGGCAATGCCTCCAACCCCTATTTCTGTTACAGACTCAAAGTTTCCAGGTAGAGGATTTTATATGGATATATGCAGTATATCCAAAACTGACCTCCAATCACTATTGACTTCTCTTCCAGAGCTCCCTACTCACAGAATGACACAAGTCTCCAGCCAACTGTTCAAGCCAGAAACCTAGAGCCAATTTTCCTTTCTTTGGCTCTCACTGCCTACACTTGGTCAGTCAGAGTTCTGTCCATTTCATCTGAGTCTGTTAGTCCCTTCTTACCTCAATGTCACAGGCTAAGCCCAAACCCCCCAATACTCTAAATTGCCTAGAACCAAATGAACTTGGCCAGACTCTACTTTGATTCTTTTTTTGTTTTTTTTTTTCTTTTTCCGAGACAGGGTTTCTCTGTGGCTTTGGAGGCTGGCCTGGAACTAGCTCCTGTAGACCAGGCTGGCCTCAGATTCACAAAGATCCGTCTGCCTCTGCCTCCTGAGTGCTGGGATTAAAGGCATGCGCCACCACTGCCCAGCTCTACTTTGATTCTTTACCCTTCGCTCTCTATTTAATAGCCACAGTAGTATTTCTTTTTTATTATTTTATTCATATGTATGTGTGTTTTGCCTGCATGCATGTCTGCATACAATGTGCATACCTGCTTGGTACTAGTGGGGCTACAAAAGGACTTCAAATCCCTTGGGACTGGAGTTTCAGATGGTTGTGAGGTGCCATATAGGGGCTGGAACTCAAACCCAGGCTCTCAGGAAGCCCAGTCCAATGCTCTTAACTGCTGAGTTACCTCTTCAATCCCTAGCCAGAGGGATCTTATCACTCTCTACCCTCCATCATTTCAGCTTCCCTTATAGTGAGTGTCTAACCAGAGCTGACAGGGTCTAACTTCAGCACACCATTCTGGTCTCATCTACTACAGCACCCTCACCAAACTACTCTACTTGCAAGACCACACTATTTACTACTCAAGTCATTCCTTTACCGAGAATTCCCTCACCTTGCATACCAACTAGATGAATACCTACCTGTTAGTAAAACCCAGCATAAATACTACTTTCTGCTAAAACCCTTTCCTGAAGGCACTGCCAACTGAATGTTCTATCTGATTACAGGGCCCACACATGTGTTAACATACTCACACTTCTGCGTACTATGAAGAATGGGCTTCATTTGATTTGTTGTGCTGTGGTTATCTGTCTGCCTTCACTACTGCATCAATAGTACTTACCAAGGATCTGCATATGTAATATAGGTAATGCAAAATACATGTAATGTATCAAACCCCTAATAAAGGGAACTGAATTTTACTCCTGAAATTTCACAGTGGAGCAAAGTTGGAACTAGCGTGTTGCTGCCCAATTTCTCCTCTGTGTGGAAGGTAATTCCAGACACTGCTAGCCTGGCATTAGAGAAAAACACTCAACCTTGGGATTTACATGACTTTACATGGAGTCCCAGCTCTGCTGCTGACTGGCAGGGGGATCTGACACAGAGGAGCCCAGAGTATAGTCACTGAATAGACAGAAGCATCTAGAAATCCTCTGCCACCACTCTCACAACCAGACTCTGCAGCATCTACCAGGAGAGCCTTGAGGGCACCCCAGCACTACTGAGCGCCTGCTGTGTGAGCACATTCTCACTTTCTCCTGCCAGTTCAAAGAGCTGCCTCTGGGCAGGAACCGATAAAGTCTTAACAAAACAGAGCATCAGCATTGGGTGGGTTAACTCATGTCTGAAACATGTAGGGACAGCAAGAAATTCTAAACATCAAGAGAACACCTGCCCTACCCAGCCTCACCCAGGGACTCTTCCCACCTCAGAAAAGGCTGGCCTGAGGCAGACCCAGAGGAATGAAGAAAGGAAAGTGATGGAAAACAAGGGGAAGGAAGAGGCATGCAGTTTCCTTGTCTTATGCCTTCAGTGAACAGGCTGAAAGGATCTTTCCCAGCTCTCCTCTCCTCCACTGTCCTTTGCTCTTAAAGCTCTATTCAGCAGCTCCTTTATTGAGTAAATGAGGAGCTGGCTAGCCCAAAGTCACATGGGTAAGAAGGGCATCAGTGCCAATGTTGGGACTCAGGTCTGGGTCTCCCAACTCCCAATCCATGCCAGCTCACCCTGCTTTGGATTCCCAAGGTTCCACACAACCAGTCATGAACCAGGCCCCTAAAGGTAGAATAGCATGCACATATATCAGAGTCAAGTCCAGCCAGTGCTAAACGGGATCACTGGCCTTAAGCAAGCTGAGAACAATACTCCTCCTGCATGGGGCCTGGTGTCTAGAAAGAACTCCAGTCTCTCTTAAGCCCAATCCTTGGCAAGCAGCTTACAAACCAATGGCAAATGCTTTCTTAAGGATCATACTGCCCATTCTCTACTGAGAAGATGGTTTGAATTTTCCCCTATACACAGTAACAAGGCCATGCTATTTCTAGATGCCATCATAAATGGCAGCTTAGCAGTGTAAAAATACAGGGAGCCACAGAAGAGTCCTCACAAGTACCTGTGGAACTGGCCACCAGTAGAGAGCTGTCACTCATTTGCCAAAATCTTCAACTTTCAGCTCTGTTCACAGTGAGAAGGGGTGCGAATGCCTGGCTCTACCCCAGCCCTTCATCGAGACACTACAGAGTCAGAACTGTGAACAGGTACTAGGAGATCAAGATAACATAATCATCAACTGGGAAATGGAGGCACAACAAAAAGCAAACAAATCCTAACTCTCATTCTGGCTCCAAGAGGGCATTTTTATCCCTCATTACCTTAGGCCTTTCTGGAAAACAAGCTGAGTGCATGGTGGCACATGTCTGTAATCCCAGCACTCACAAGGCTGAGTCAGGATGATGACTGTTGAGTTCAGAAAAGGTAAGGGAGGTCATTCTGAAGGACTATCATAAGGAATGCTCAAGAAGAACAACAAAAAACACAGCAGCACTCAAGAAAACTGAAAAGGATTCATTACTTTTTTTTCAGTTTTTAAAAGGCAAGGTCTTGAGATATATATAGTCCAGGGTGGCCTAGAACTTGCCACCTTCCTATCTTAGCTTTCTCAGTGCTGGGCATGCACTACCCCACTGGGTTTAGCATTGTCTTATTGTCTCTATCTTTTCCAGGGTTCCATCCACTCACTGTTCTAGGAGGACAAAAACAGATAACCAATACTGAACAACTTCTCCTGCTATGTCATTGTAAGTCTGCTCCCTAGGTGGAAATTTTAAGTCAAGGGACTCCTGCCTTGTGTCTGCATTCTCCACAGCACATACTTGGGAGTTAACTCTGGCTCCTGAGACTGCCTTTTGCACTCTCTGTGGCAAAAGCAAAGGGCAGTGCTCAGCTGCAATCTCCCTTGGCAGATGCCACTGAGCTCAAAGGTGAGAGTGGCTTGCTCCTTCTACAGCACCTCTGGATAGTTCCTGCCACACAAGCCTCCATCCAAACAGACTAGGAGCTTAGCTTTTCATAGAAGCAGACAGTCAACTAGCAGGAGAATTGCCTTTAACCTGAAACACTAACAAAGCCTGCACATGAGCCTTAGAATTCCAGACCTAACCAAACCTTCTGGTACTACAAAAGCTCCAGTCATTACAAACCAAGACTGTAATTCCAGCACTCAGGAGGCTGAGAGATAAAGAGTTCAAATTCAAAGACAGCTTCTGGAAAATTCAAAGCCACCCTGAACTACATAAGAAGACCCTGTCTGGAAGAAGAAAAGGAAAAAGAGAGAGAGAGAGAGAGAGAGAGAGAGAGAGAGAGAGAGAGAGAGAGAGAGAGAATATGAATGTTTTGCTCTCCCTCAGAAACAACACAAAAGGTCTCAAGTAGGGTGGCTTCCCTTATAAGGAAGGAGTCTAAGGGAAAGGTCACACCAAAAAGAACGAACATCTAGGTCCTGTTCCTACAAGCTATATGAACCTGGACCAGGCACTGTTTTGCATCAGTGAAATGGGAACAATTCCTGAGTCACCTTCTGCAGAGATGAATGAGGATTAAAAATATGGAAGATACCATAAGCTCTTTACAAAGATTGCTAAAGATGTTTAATTCTTACTCATTTCTGGATTAGTGAATGATTTCCCCAAATATACTAAACAGAGTATTTTCTGATGAATACCTTCTGAGGAATCAGGGTGTGCAGTGGGAACCCCAGATTTGTCTCCAGGGCTGGGCCACAGCAGGAGCATATAAGACTCCACAAGCTGACTCTACGCCAATGCTTTTCAAAATAAAACCCAAGTGACTGTTTCTTTTTTTTTCTTTTCTTTTTTTTTAATAAATCGTAGACTAGGCTCCAAGAAAAGTGTTGAAATAAAAATAAACCCCTGATATCTGGGTAACAGGGCTGTGAAAACGGGAGGCATGGTGCCAGCAAGACTCTTGAGTATGCCCCTCCACATAACCTGCCAGGGTGAACCTTAACTTTCTTTGCTCTCCCTTAGACCATTTCCACCAACTCCTTCAGCGCCTAAAAAACCCGAAGGGATGGGCTGCCATGGCTCTTCTCTGTTTTGAAATTTACAACTGGGCTTTCTAAGTCAAAGGTTTGTAACCT